CGGGGACGCACCAGGGCGGGCGGGGTGGGGCACTGGGCAGGACAGGCGGGAGCCGAAGCAGAGGGGGATATCGTCCACCTCACTTGCTGCCCGTCTACCGCAGCAACTACAGCCAACAGTAGCACACAACATTATTTTTTTTTAATCCATTCCAAGCAGCTGCCCCTTTTGGTGGCAAAACAACTCACGGGCCCCGATGCTGTTTGGACCCAACATACCGGGCGCCATACCACCGGCGCCGCCTACTCTGACCACAAGAACAGAGGCGGGGCCGGGCGGGGCGTGGCGAGGCGTGGCGGGGTGAGCTAGAGCTGCGGGTGTCTGCGAGGGGCAGCGGCCCCGGGGCTCCCGGGAGGGGTGGTGCCGGGCGGTGCGGCTACCCGCCCCGGTCCGCAGTACTACCCTCAGCAGCACAGCACAGCACACGGGTCACGGCCAAAAGGGAGAGAAGGAGATAGGGCGAGAGGCGTTTCCTGGACGGGAATTGGAAAGAGAGCTCCCGAGTTTTTCAACTTCCGCGTTCCCGATCTCGGATACTGTCCCCAAAGAGTTGGTGTTTTGTCCACCAAAAAACAAACACAACACAACACAGACACACGAGATTTGGTGGACCGGAAGTCGAAACACCCGTTGAGCTCTACCGACGTCCCTCCTGGAAGTGCGACGCGCCGTGGACTCGGTGTACACCGTTGCCGCGGAGCCGATTGTGCGACCGCACTACCAAGAATCCCAGAGCAGCTCGACCGGGCGGGGCACGTCCAGCCTGGACCAGGACCAGGGGCAGGACCAGCAAAGCGGGCTCTCCTTTCTCTCTGGCCGCGCCTGGCTGAAGGCCACGCCGTGCCGCAGCGCGCCGCGGTCGCCGTCGTCGGCGTCGTCCCCAAAGATTGTATTGAATCCTTTGCCCGGGAACATCTCGGGGACAAATACGAAAGCGCGAAGGAGAAGAAAAGAGAGAGAAGAGAAGGGCCCATCTGGCTGCACAGCATCTCGCGCAGAGGGTCCGCGGAGCAGCAGCAAGGGCGCGGAGACGGAGGGGAGGCAGTCACGCACGGACAAAAGGGGGCCCCGCTGTTAACGGGATTAGCTTGTCCGATATGGACGGGGCGGGACGGGCTGCTCCGATGAACATGGCGGCTGCGGATGGAACGGCAAAGGAGGGGGTTTGTTTGGATGGGAGGCAAAAAAATGGCGCGGGGGAGGGGAATCGTTCACGTGGTCTCCAAACTCGCCAACACAAACATGGATATTTTGGGAGGGAGCGTATATAAGAGGCTCCGAGAAGGGGGGAGGAGGGGGGGCAGTGTGGGCTAGTGAACGAACCTGTCAGGCGCGCCCACCACCACCACCTCCACCTGCGCCCTCCTCTTTTTAAGACCCCCCCCCCCCCTCCTGTTCTCTCCTCGCAGCGCCTCCTGCCTCGTCTCGGCGGAGGGTAGGAGGGTTATTTTTTTAAAAGCCAAGGCGAAGCCCGGGGAGCGGATATTAGATGTGCGCTCGCTGCGCCGCGAGTGGCGGTGTTGGGGGGTGGGAGTGGCGGTGGAGGGCAAGCAGAGACCCCTTCGCGCGACTCACCTGCTGTCTCCTTCAGCAGAGCCCCGAGGAGCAGATCATCCGGCGCGGCGGGCACTCAAACATCCAGCTCCAGCACACCTGTGGAACGGCAAAAAAAAAAAAGAAGGGTTATTAAACTTGTCTAAAAATAAAATTCCGTTGAGTAATAATAACAACGTTTGGGTCGTTGGGGTTAGGGTTCTCTCTACGGGCGGATGGATGCGGAGCGCGATGGGGCGTAGCGTAGCGTGGCGTGGCGGAGCGTGGCGGAGCGTGGCGGAGCGTGGCGGAGCGTGGCGGAGCGTGGCGGAGCGTGACGTGGGCTGGCCCGAGCCGGGGGTGACCTTCGCAGGCGGCGCGCGTTGATTAAATTCGCCGCTTGGCCGGGTTCATATTCACTCCTGAAACAAACGCGCGGAGCGGGGGGCGTCTTCCCGGGAGAGTGGCCGCCACAACGCGCGAGCACCTATGTTGACACCTGGACACTCGTAACGACACACCGTAGAAAATAATAAAATAAAACGTTCCTTGAATTGTAAGACCCGGCCTTGCCAATGGCGTTCTCCAAGCTCCAAGACCGGGTCAAAGAAATTCAAAAAACTTTTTTACGAGGCGTGGTCGCCAATCGTTGGCCTCTTTGTTAGCCAAGATTTAGCCTTTGCATAGCAGCCAGGTCTGCTTTTAAAATTGATATCAAGTGTTGGCCAATAACGGCCAAAGGACGAACAAAGTTTGCCAATCGAAAAGGAGGAGTGCCAAAGTTTTTGGCAAGCTAAGCGACCACTGAGTTTAGAAGTGGACGCACACAAACCAGTTGGCAGGTTCGGTTCATCGTCCTTGGAGAGGGCGATTTCAGTAAAGCCAAAGCCGATGGCAGGCGGTACCAAACAGCGTCGCATGATGTCGGTGCGTGTGTATTACAACGTGACAAACGTTACAAAACGACGACTTGCTGGGCGTGGGCGCGACAATTTCGGTCACGACTCTCATCGTCCATCATCATTGCAAGCGTTCCCGTCCCGATCTCAAGAACTGGATCGGTATATATACGGGCGGGGGAAAAGAAGGGGAGGGGCAGAAATGGTCCAAAGCACGATTAATCGACTGCCTCTCGCCCCGACCGCGCCCCGCCACGCCCCGCTCCGCCACGCCCTACCCTACAGCCTGAGCCATTACAGCGGCTGAGCGCTGCATGCGGGTGCCCGCAGCGCTGCCGGCGCGGCGACTCCAGAGAAAGGAGAGCCTTTCCCAGCGATCTCTAGCGCGCTGCCGCCGTGCTCGTGGAGAGCATGGGGGAGCTCCTGATCAAAGTTCTGCACACCAGCGGAGCTAAATGGTCGGGCTTGGGGGCAGACACACGCTCTCATCTTTTTCCAAGTCAACGAGTTCGCATCAAATACAATATGTTTACATAACTGAGCTGTCAAAATAAAATAAACAACCATCCATCCAACCCCGCTGCTTCTCCCCGCACGAAAAACGGGCGTAATTTTTCCCCATGACATGACGGTTGTTCACGCGTGGTTTGGACCCGGTGTCGCTGCGCCAGCGGCGCGTCCGATTAAAGCGAGAAATATGCGGCAGCATCTTCTAGGCGACATTTTTGATTAAAATATAGGTGGGCGCGCGTTGCCGGAAGCGTTTTGAGTTCCAAGTTTCGCCCATGTCTGGCAGCGGCTACACCGGGGCCGGGTCGGCCGCTCGCTCTAACCGAACGCTCTGATGGGGCCGCCGGGGTCCAAACCACGAGGGAACAATCGTCATGTCGAGGGGAAAAATTACGTCCGTTGTTCGTTCGGGGAGAAGCTAGTACGGGTGGGAGAGAGGGTGGGAGCGATCGGCCACTCCCCCCTCTCTAACCCCCACCGAGCTATTGGGAGCCACCCATGACCACTGAATGGAGGCCCACGGGCCCCAAGCATTCTACCCTCAATCCATGCCGAGAGCCGAGAGATGGGGGGGCGAAACAGAGCGAGAAAGGGGAGGGCGGGGAGAGAAAATCGAAATAGCAAACAGAATCGGGATTCCTTTGCCTTTAATTCGCGTCAGTTTTGTGTCCCATATTTTCTCGTACAGATGGGAAACGAGAAAAAGAAAGAGAGAGATAGAGAGGAAGAGGGAGAGAGCAAGAGCGTGGGAGAGGAGGACGTTTTGGGTCTGGGCTGAACGTGTGTGTGTATGCTTTTTCCCCCAAGCCAATCTTGGCGAACGGATTGGCCTATGGTAAATCTGTCAGAACGCGGAGCTGCGGGGACAGGCTGCGATACACGGGCGAATAGAAATGTCAAATATCTGTCGACAGCAACAGATTCCGGGTGGGCGGTAGCCATAAGCAACAGATCTGGCAGAGAGCAAAGGGGGGTGGGGGGGAAGGGTCGTGCCTGCGACGGACCACCAACCTCCCTGCTCACTGCACTGGAGGGTCTCGGGAAGGGACTCGCTGTATTGCACTGGCCGGCAGGATCCAAGCAGGAACATGGAGTGGGGAAAAGTCCTGGCGGAGTGAATTGCAGAGAGCCGTAGAAATGTCTTGGGCGGGGAGAGAGAGACAGAAAGCGAGAGAGCCATCGATCCCCAGGAGCTAGGCTCGCTCTCTAAGCCATGGGACCTGCCAAACCAAAGGAAAGTTGAGATGAGAGGACGCCGGGAAAAGGGCAGGGGGGGGGAGGAAGGAAGGGGGATCGGAACTGGGCTAAAGAGGGCAGAGAGGTGCCAAAGAATGGCTGATGGAAGGCTCGGGTGGGGTAGGCAGCGCCGGTCACAAAGAGGACTGTCTCGGGGGCGAAGGGGCTGTGGGGCGGCGGCAGCGGCGCAGCGCTAAGTGCGGTGTTGTGCGATGGAGGCGCACCGGAGTGGCCCCTTTACCGCCCCTGCCCCCGCCCTCTACTTCACCACCCGACCCGCCTCCACGGCTGGCTCTCAGCTCGACGAGCGCCCGGAGAGTAGGCAAACCCTCCACGCTGCGAGCAGCTGTGCCGAGCGGGTTGCCTACCCACCGATCCGCGGGCGCTTCGGGACGCAATCGCAGGATGGGAGGGAGGAATGGGAAATGACCCAGGGGCTTTGGATCAACGACGAGATCACCGTGCTGAGTTCAGTCGAATCAAGGTCACACGTGATAACCCACACACAAGTTTAAATGAAAACAAGTCTAAATTTAATGTGTTTAATATGTAACAAGAGAGAGAGAGGGGGGGGGGGCTGGCACTTTGTCGAGGACCTTGGTGTGGCGGCAGGCGTGAGACTTGATTGAGCCCTACGGACTCGGAAGTGGTGGGGCGTGGCGGGGCGGGG